AGTAACAAAAGAGAGTTTTGAAACCATATTACCGTATCAACAATATGGTTCCAGGAAAACACAAATTAGTCATAAATTTCCAGCAATTGACTAAACTATAAAATTAGAGCCTCCATATTCTAAACAACATGAAATTCCAAAATACAAAATAAACAAGCTCAAGAATAAATATCTACCATTTGCTCGAATGATCCGCTGCTTCAGTAATCGTGAAAGGCTTAACACATCAAAACGACAATCCAGGTCAACAAACATAACTAATCGCTCCAAGCCTCCATAGTTTACACCCTTCCACTCCTTAGGCAAAATACAATTAATAGCAGCCTAGCATGAACCAAAAAGAATCACATTAAGCTTATTATTTGAGAGACATAATATATGTGATACCATCTAGTTGGGATTAATGCTTTTGTAATTTTCTTAAAAAATCTACAGTAACAATTTTTATATTTGCCAGGACTCTTTTTAATCAAGTTAGGGACTTGTATGTTCATCGAGAGTATGAATAAGTGTGGAGTTCCGAGACCTCCTTATTTGCAAGATAAAGTATTTCCCCTTGTTCATGAAGTATTATTTCATTATTTGCAAATACTCAGTTTGGTCTTTGTCATTTTCGGGGACTTCAACTGAAAATTGAATAGTGGTATGAATGTGTATTCCAAGTGAAGTTTTTCAAATCTTCAATTCCCATCCCTAAATCTTTTCCACAACTAGGACTTCCATAAACTTTTCTCAAATTCAACTTCAAATAATCTTCTTGCAGATTTAACTGAAAATTGTCCAAGTTCCCAATTAGTATTGGTATGAAATAGACCCATATTATTATTTTTTCATAACCGTGGTGTCCGAACCAGCTTTCACGCATCTCAACTAATTTCACGTGATAATGTCAGCTCCCACTCCCACTGGGGACAAAAACTAGGTAATTTTATCCACCAAGTCTAAGATAGATGGGAAGAAATGAATTCGAACCTACAACCTCATGGTACTCAGCCCACTTTATTGTCCACTAGGTCACACCCATGGGTGCTGACATAGACCCATATGGAGCAAAATGGTCACATAGAATCCATACTTCTAAAACATCCGACCTTAACTAGTCAGGTAATTGATTAATATTGGTAACACTACAAAATGTGAGAGTCCACAAAGCAAAAGAAAATGGTCAAAAATGCACCTAAAGTATCCCGATTTTTCGAGTTTCATACCTGAACTATCAGGTCTGTGCATTTCCTACCTAAACTATAACCAATTATTTATCAAAATACATCTCAACTATCAATTGTTTATTTTTCTTACCTGAACAATGGGATATTTCAGTTTATGAAACTCACACACCTACTAGTTGAATTGTGTTTTAATAAATAGTTAGGGATAGTTCAGATAGAAAACTCGCACAATTGATCGTTCATTCAGATATGAAACTCAAAAAACCTGAATACATTAAGAGTGTCTATATATGCACATTAAATCACTGATTCAAAATTATGAATTGGCATCTATAAAATGTAGCTGAACAGCAATGAAGAAGAAAAATTAATAAATAGAGTTTTGTTTAATGTGACTTGCCTGCATAAGAATGCGAGTTTTTGAAGAAGGAGAAGGACCGACGATTTCTACAACATTGCCGGGACGGAGAGGAATGCGATGAAGTGGTGGAGGTAATGGTAGAAAAGGCCGCTCTGAGAAAACCCTAGTGAGAAATTGCTTCGCCGTTTCGTCTGCTTCAATCCATTCTCTCGCCGACGACGCCATTTCTACTCTTCCTCAGTTGCTCGTAGCTGAAAACGGAAAAGGGGGACAGTGAACCAGCTCTACAAGACTAAAAGGAATTTCTTTTTTTATATAAAAAAAAAGAAATTAATATGTCTATTTTATCAGAAATAATTAATTTTACGAAATTTTCATTATTTTAATTTATAAAGAGAAAAAGGACAAATATACTCCGAACTATCGTAAATGGTATGCAAATACCCTCCGTCATATTTTTGGGACATTGGTGCCCCCTGCCATCTAAAAACTAGAGCATATATATCATTTATACTAACGGACATACACGTGTAATAACCTTATCCACAGATCCGACATTTATTAAATATCCGATCGACGGATAAGATTGTGCCACGTGTTCCTATTTAGCCTTCCGTTAGAGTGAAGGATATATATGCTCTAGTTTTAGATGATAGGGGCATCATCCGTTAGAGTGAAGGATATATATGCTCTAGTTTTAGACGACAGGGGCATCCATGTCTCAAAAGTATGACGGAGAGTATTTGCATACCATTTACGATAATTCGAAGGTATATTTGTTTTTTTCCCATTTATAAATGATCATGAAAAGATCATTTTTAATTATCTCACTGTCTGTTTGATATAAAAGGCCTATAAGATAAAAAAAAAAGATACTCCTTTGATTTCATATTCTTTTGTATCCACGTTACGTAGATGCAAGATGTTGGTTATATAAGGTATAGTAGAAGCAAAGGTAGGCCGAAAAAGTGTTGAAAAGAGCTGATAAGATAGGAAATGAATTTCATGTTATCAAGGATATGCCCTTAGATAGGAAAATGTGGATGACACTTATTAGGATAGAAGGTTAGTAGGTAGGATCATCTTGCTTATTATGTGGATGACACTTATTAGGATAGAAGGTTAGTAGGTTAGTAGGTAGGATCATCTTGCTTATGGTGGTTGGTGTTTGTCATTGTCATTGTACTTGTATTGGAGTCGTTTGTTTGGGAACTAGTTATCCCAAAATTAGTTATCATGTGGTTAGCTATTCTGGAATAACTTATCACACCATGTATATGGGAAAACTTATCCCACCACTATGATATAAGTGGTGGGATAAGCTATCTCAAACATGGCAATCAAACAAGATACAAAATTTTTATTTCATCACTAAGTTCTTGTTTTTTTTATATTTGATTATAGCACTATTTTGTGTTACTTGCTATGTTTTCTTTATTATCACCTTCTTCTTTGTACCTGAATTTGGTACATTTGAATCGAAGGTCTTTTGAAAATAGTTTCGCTACCTCCACGAGTTAGTAGTAAGATCTCTGTATATTCTGCCCTCTTCAGACTCCTCTTGTGGGATTTTACTTGTTGTTATTGTATGTATCCACATTACTAAAAGTATTTATTTCAAATTATTTGTCAATTGATCAAAATTAAAACAAAACAAATTTAATTTTGTTTGTTTTCCCCTTAAAGTTAATTCGAAAATATAAATACCGTAAAGTCTAAAAGAAAAGTTAATCCTTTTATTGATCTTAGTATTGATAGAGCGGATACATAATTAAAGTATATGAAAAAGAGTTAAAAAGGGGAAATTAGTAAAGATGTCTTTCTTATTTTTCAGAAGGTGCAGGTAAAAGGAAAATTGAACAAGTAATATAAAACAAATGAGGTAATTTATTTGATTCGTAAAGTCTAGATGCATGATACTATCACATAAATTGAGATAGAAAAAAAAATACTTATGAAGTATTTTCAAATGGGAAAATATCTAATTACTCCTTTGGTTCAAAATATTTGTCATAATTCACTTTCCCAGAGTTCATTAACTAATTTTTAGAACTAAATTAAATAGTATTTTAAAATTAAAAGTTAAATACTCAAAAATTATACAAAATATGCTAGAAGTTATAAAAAAAATTCATATCAATATAGTAAAAAAGATATACTGTAAATATTAACCTAACAAGTATTTTGAGACTAAAAAATCTCTTTTTATTTAGATTCACACATGAAATTTACACATAAAAATTTACAATGCTTTCACTAAGAGTGAATATAACCTTTCGACTATAAATTCATAACTTCCAACACAGACTATATTAGACCTGAACCTGTAATTTTAACATGATTACAACAAGTTCACTACTAAAAATCATAAAATTTGAAACGTATTAAACTTAAATCCCAAATTCGCGTCTAAATTTCACTTGTGACATATTCTAGCAGTTGGCATTGTGACACAAATAGGTGCATATTATTTCTTTGCCTCAAGTGTCCCTGCCTTTGGTTCCTCAGCCATAACAACACTTGCAAATGAATTTGTTGCAACTATCGCCATTAAGGCAAAAGCCAATTCCCTCCTTCATCCATTGTTCTTTTTTTCCTCTTTTTTTGTCACATTTTTCATCCTTATTTAAGGCATTAACTTTTAGCACTCTTCTCTTATTGCTTTTTGAATGCGCGGAAAGGGGGAAAGCCCTTCGTTCATGGTTCTTCTATAGTTGAATCCTCCGATATGGACTAGAAATGAAGATGACATTAGTAAAGAAGCCATTAGTGTATAGTTTTTGTGACTATTTGTTTGGAGTTAGCACAATAATGTTGTAATGGTTGATAATTATATTTTTGTGTTATATAAAGTTGCATATGAATTGTGCTAGAAGGATCCATTTGATCAATCAAAAACCTTATCTATAAATTTTGTGGTGTCAAGTAGTTAAACTTGTGAATATGATTGGCTTCTTGATTTTTCTTTTGTCTGAATTGTGCTAGAAGAATCTATTTGAATAAAAAAAACCCTATCTCTTATAGTAATTTTGAATTATTTGGATGTTTTAGCTAGGTTAATTTTATGGGTCAGGTGGAGTCATGGAGTGTAGGATTATATAATAGCCTTAATATATAGATGTGTTTTATAATTTGGTTTCAGCTCGCATCTATGTCCTTTAATTTTGAATGTGCACAACTAAATATATAAATTTATATGAAGTTGAACAAACATATACACACGTCCTACAATGCATAATAGATATAGGATTTCATGTAGGATGTGAATTGTCATGTAAGACGTCATGTAAGATGTGTATATCTACTAATTCAATTTTGGATGATTTAAGTAGGTATCTATTTAGGCACACCTAAAATTAAAAGAAATAACTATCAAAAATCAAGTTAAAAAACACATTTATATGTTATGCTTATATAAAAACAATTGAAAAATCAGTTCACTGAATTTTCGTTATGCATGTGATTTGAGAAGAATCGGATCACATTATTTTGTTGCATACAAGAAAATTTTTTTAGAACACCCCATGATTATTATTTTTTTATATTCAAGTTAAATTTTCACTTCTATAGTCAAGGAATTCTATACCATTGGTTGACTTAGTCATCTTTTGTCATTATTTGGAGAAAGAAAATTTATGATACCAAATTAAGTATTGATAGAACAATCAAAACAATAACGTGTGGAAAAATAAGAGGGTCCAATATTAGAATATTCAACAAAATATTGGAAATTTGCTATTAATGATGAAGACAACTTAACAAATCAATTTTCTTGGTATTAATGAGTAATAG